TAAATATATATAAATATCTATATATAATATCTAAATATATATAATATCTAAATATATATAAATATCTATATATAATATCTAAATATATATAAATATCTACATAATATATAATATGTAATATATATATAATATGTAGATATACACATGATGTTTAAATTAAGGATTTTTAAATTTAAATATAACTAGGAAGAGAAAGAGAGGGAGTGAGATAAATAAAAAAAAGGGAAGGAGAGACACGCTGCTAAGCATAAGACGCATATATGATATATATTTTGAAAAAGACCATTCGAACAGCTGATTCGACAAATGTACTTTTGACGCGTGGTTGCCGTTAAATGTAATAGGAATGTAAGTGACGTGTAGAATCTATCGGTGAAACTCTGTGATCAACATAGTTCTATTAAATTCATGAAATCTAAATCTGTTAAGTGTTATGAAAATCAGTGGTATAATCGATCTTCAATGTCATATATTATTTAATATGAAATATGTACGTTGACGTGTCCTAATGACGTAATTTTTATCTCAAAAAGAAAATATATACGTACGTATACATATATCCATCCCCCTGTAGAAGATAATGTGTTGTGTTTTACACGTACATACGCATTGAGAGAAAATTAAATAGATTATTTGTGAAGATTCTATTTGCAATGAAGATATTAAAATTACCTGATCATCTCTCATGAGACTATAATTATATAAATAGTGGAAAAAAAATATGAAGCCTAATCAAAGTGTATTACTTTTCTTGCTCGCTTTGGTTATGTTTTCCATAGCGGATAACGAAAATGATGGAAAAAAATCTGCTGATATAACGGATAAATCTAATTCTAAAGATGATAATAAAGATAATAAACCTGTCGAGGATTCCAAAGAGGCGTTCGAACAGCTACAAGAATTTTATGCTTTACATGACACTATGTTAAAAATTGTACCGGATATACTTAATGAAAATCTTCCTAAACCATTAAAAGAGGAATCTGATAGTGAATCTGATACAACTAATAATAAAGAATCCGTAGAAACTATTGCGTTAAGGAATCAAGTATTATGGATGAAAAACATATTGGATCAAAATAAAGATACAGATACTGATACCGTGGATACTAAATTACAATCATCCGAAGAAGAGATTTTAGTTTCTTGGGCAGATGAAGAACCTTTTGAAAGTACTGAAGAAGAAGTTAAAGAATCTTTAACACCGGAACAACAGAAAGGTAAATTAAAAAGATGTATATCTAATGTATATTCTATTGTTTTCTTATTTCAATAAAATCAATTAGAATATTGGTATATAACTGTTTTATTAAATACTATTACTTTTATTATATAAATATCTTATTATGATTATACACATTTTAGCCGAACTGTTGTTCAAAAATGCTCAAAATTTATTAAATGCGACACGAGCAAACAAAGTGGAAGCATTCAAGTTTATCAATGCAGCAGCAATGCTGGGACATAAGGAAGCTAGGTCTATGTTGGCATGGGCCCAATTACTTGGAGATCCCATGAGTGTCGCTCCTCAAACTCGTTCTCAATACATTTCTGCTGCATACCAAATATTTAATGAATTGTCTAAAACAGGCTTACCATCTGCGCATATGGTTTGCATATGATTTAATAGAAATATTAAATTAATATTATAATGTTGAAAGAGTAATAAATATTATTTTTACAGGGTATGGGATTTTTATATGCAACTGGATTAAGTGGAGTCAATGCTTCCCAAGCAAAAGCTTTGTTACATTATACGATGGCAGCTTTGGGAGGTGATCCTCGTGCACAAATGGTTTTAGGATACAGAAATTGGGCAGGAGTAACAACTCCTGTCTCATGCGAACGAGCATTAGATTATTATAGAAAAGTAGCTAATAAAGTTGCAGAGGAGGTATCTCTTAGTGGCGGACCAGTTGTGCAACGTGTCAGACTTTTAGATGAATATGAAAATCCTGGATACAGTTCTGGAATTTTTGATAGGGATTTAATAGAATATTATCAACTATTAGCAGAACAAGGAGACGTACAGGCTCAAGTAGGTCTCGGTCAACTTCATTATCAAGGAGGTAGAGGAGTACCTTTAGATCATCAAAGAGCATTACAATATTTCCTACATGCCGCTGATGCAGGCAATCCTATTGCCATGGCATTTTTAGGAAAGGTACGAGGAATACAAATAGCCATTTTTATCTATATAATTAATTTTTCTTATCGCATATCCTTGTATGCAGATTTATCTTGAGGGAAGCGATATAGTAAAACAAGATAATGAAACGGCATACATGTATTTCAAAAAAGCTGCTGATCTGGGAAATCCTGTTGGTCAAAGTGGCTTAGGAATGATGTATTTGTATGGAAAAGGTGTTGAAAGAGATACAGCCAAAGCTTTGCAATACTTCAGTCAAGCTGCAGAGCAAGGATGGGTAGATGGTCAACTTCAACTGGGCAATATGTATTTTAGTATGTATATGTAGTGATTACTACATTAAGTTCAATTTTAAAGAGCTAGTATAATGCTTATTAAATACTTATTTTCTCTTTATATATGTATATATGTTTATACAAATATTTTTCTAAAGGTGGAATCGGAGTAAGAAAAGATTATAAATTAGCAAACAAGTATTTTAATTTGGCCAGTCAATCAGGCCACGTTTTAGCATTTTATAATCTTGCTCAAATGCATGCGACCGGAACTGGCATGATGCGAAGTTGTCCAACAGCTGTAGAATTATTAAAAACTGTTGCTGAGAGAGGAAAATGGAGTGAGCAATTAATAATAGCACATAACAACTACAGAGAAGGGAAAATATATGAAGCATTTATCAACTATTATCTTCTTGCTGAAATGGGTTATGAAGTTGCTCAAAGTAATGCAGCATTTATTTTGGACAAAGGTGAAAGTACCATTTTTACGGAAGAGCAAGGATTAGTTCGAGCTTTACAACTTTGGGCAAGAGCTGCTGCTCAAGGATATTCTGCGGCGCAGGTTTAGATTTTGTCTATGGTTAAAATAGAAATAATATATGGGGCATTCCACGTCAAATCGGCCACTTTTGACCACGACCCCTTTCGATTTGGCTGAAAGTTTTTTATCCTATTTTACCCTATGAAAAACAATTTTCAGAATTTTTTCAAATTTTTTTACCAAACCCGAAAAAAAATTATTAATTTTTGAAAAAAATAGCTCTTTTTTTAAAAATGGCTATAACTTCTTCAAAATTCAACTTATTGGGACGTTTTTTTTTTAATTTTTGTTTTTAAATGTATTTTTCAGAAAAAATACAAAAAAATTAAAAAATTATAAAGTCCATGAAATTTTCGCATTTTTTGAGAAAAGCCGTTATTTTCTCGAAGTTCGCCATTTTTCATGTTTTTTTTATTTTCTAAAAAAAAACTTTGACTAAATCTGCGATTATTCCCGCCAGTCCCAGAGTGGGCTGAGTTAGTTTCCTATTTTTTTTATTTAATTGAAAAAAAATTTTTAAATTTTCAAAATTTTTAATTTATTTTTTTTTTTTAATTAAATTAATGCAATTAAACAATTTTACAATATTATATACTTAATTAATAGTCTTAAAATACAAAGTTTAAAAAAAAAAATCATTTTAAATTTTGAAAATTGAAAAATTTTTTTTCGATCAAATAAAAAAAATAAAAAACTAACTCGGCCCACTCAGGGACTAGCGGGGATAATCGCAGAATTGTCAAAGTATTTTTTTAGAGAATAAAAAAAAAATAAAAAATAGCGAACTTCTAGAAAATAACGGTTTTTCTCAAAAAATGCGAAAATTTCATGGACTTTATAATTTTTTAATTTTTTTGTATTTTTTCTGAAAAGTACATTTAAAAACAAAAATTAAAACAAAAACGTCCCAATAGGTTGAATTTTGAAGAAGTTATAGCCATTTAAAAAAAAAGAGCCATTTTTTTTCAAAAATTAATAATTTTTTTTCGGGTTTGGTAAAAAAATTTGAAAAAATTCTGAAAATTGTTTTTCATAGGGTAAAATAGGATAAAAAACTTTCAGCCAAATCGAAAGGGGTCGGGGTCAAAAGTGGCCGATTTGACGTGGAATGCTCCATATACATTCCAAATATGTGTATATTAAAAAGAATATAATTTTTTAATAGGTTAAACTTGGCGATGCTCATTATTATGGAAGAGGAACGAAAGTAGATTATGAGGCAGCAGCAAGTCATTATCGTTCAGCTTCTGAACAACAGCACAATGCTCAAGCTATGTTTAATTTGGGTTATATGCACGAACGTGGCCTAGGATTAGCTAAAGATCGTCATTTAGCTAAACGATGTTACGATTTAGCAGCGGAAGCAAGTCCTGATGCGCGAGTACCTGTTGCTTTAGCCTTGATCAAACTTTCTTTCTTATTTGGACTGGACTATTTACAAGAATTTAATCTGATCGATCAATTAGATAAATGGGACCAATTGCTTGGTCAGAATTGGGATCTGTATTTAATCGGATTTCTAACAGGAATGCTCAGTCTTATCATATACTTCCGCAGGCCGCAGCCACCTCCTCCACCACCAAGACCTGTACCTCCTGTAAACTAAATTTTTATATTATCTCTTGCATTTTGTGTACATGTGCTATTTTAAGCTAAGCTCGGAATCTACTTTATATAAAAAGAAAAAGAAAGGAAAAAGAAAAACTTCGTTAAATTGACTGCGACACTGTTGATAATGAAATTAAAAGTTTGTGTTTTTTTTCTCTTTTTTTTTCTCTCTTTCTAGATCATAAGCTATATAAATCATATACATATAGTGATTTTTTAAATAATTTTCTTTCTTGTACAGTTTAACCACTTGTGAAGCGTATATAAAATTTTTTACAAAATATTTCATGTGCAAGTAAAACAACAAATATATATATAAAGTATATATAAGTATATATAAAAACCTTATATCATTTAATGAATTGCCAATGGTAAATTTGTGAATGCATAAACATTTTTTTAAAGATGAATTAGTAATAAATAAAAATTGTATTATATCTTTACAGATGTAATTAAACTCATTAGTATTATTTGCAGTTTCTGAGCTTAGCTTCTAGAACGTTTAGTTTTATTGCAAAAAGAAAAATCATCCGGATGTTAATATATACCAATATTTTCGTTCCTTTCCTTTGCTAATCAAGTAAAATACCTGAAATATTATTTACCATTTTCAAAATTAAATTTGACAATGCACATATATATTATTTCAATGGTTATATCTTAAAGAATCGGGATGCCTTTCCAAGTGGATAATTATACAGTGATTTTGTACAAATAAATAAATTAAAGAGTAATATTTCAAATGATATCATGTTTGTTATTATTTAAAATTTAAAATCGCATATATATAGTATTTCAAGAAAAGCCATTGTGTGTCTGTAATATAATTAAATATGAGAATATTGTTAGTTATTTATACAATAAAAAATGTTTCACCTTTATTATTTATCATCAAATATTTATTCTCGTATTAGTATCTATTATAATCAATAATACTTCCAAATCTTTTTCACTATGGTAACGATTGATCAATGTATTACAATTCAGTCTATTATTGTGTGGTAGAATTACCTATTTCATTTTATATATATATATAAACATTTAAAATTTGATTTAAAGTATGACATTTTGTAAAAATTTGTTAAGTTATGATGATTATTTTTACTTCAAATTTATACAGATGTTATAATAAAAGTATTGAAAATGTGCAATACTTGTTAACTTTCATTGACATTTATTAATGATTGATAAATTGACCTTATAAATAAAGTAAATCAAAATGCCAAAAAAGAAACGTGGTGTTAGAGAAAAAAAGGGTAAAAAAAATCCTTGGTTAAACGAAAGAGAAACGTTATCTTATGAACAACAAATTTTGGATAATAATAGACAATTAACACGGTATGATAGAATATTAATTTAACTTTATTAAAATGCATATATATAATTACTTACTTTAATATATACGTGAATATTACAGACTGCGTAGTACTAATGAAGAACTTGAACATGAAGTTAAAACTATAAAGCAACAATTCGCAAAACTTGAAGAAGATCGTTCAGATATTGTAGCATATTTGAAGCGTAATTTAGAAGAGAACATCGAAGAAGCACGTGAATTAAATGAACGAATATCTGCTTTAGAAGAATTAAGAAAAAATGAGTTAGCTTCATTTAAAAAAAAGGAAGCAGAGATGGAACTTGAATATCGCACTATGGAAAGTAACTTGAGTGCGGAGGTCAAATTAACAGGTACATACATTAATAAATAGTAAAGTAAAATTTTGATTACTTTGTTATTTGATTTATTATGTTTTATTTTATTTTAATTTAAAATATTTTGAACAAAATATTTACATACATAGAATTATTTTATTTTGGTCAAAATTATATTCTGAATTATTGTACATAGATGTACCAATAATTGGAGGAAACTATAGACTATGTTTTGATACTTCAACTGTCTGTTATTAGCTGGAAAATTAAATGCATTAGAGGATTGGAGAATAGCACGACTTGATTTAATGCATAAATTTGAAGTGCAGGAGCAACAATTAAAAGAACAAGAAGAAAGACATAAAAATGCGCTCCATGCTGCTGAAAAAGCATTAATCGTTGGAAAAGCTAAGTATGTAATTTATATATATCCATATCTATAGATCAAATAAAATTTAAGTAACTTATTTTTTTCCATTCTAAAAGAATGCAAAGAGAAATGGAAGAACGATTAAATGAATTAGCTGAAAAATTTAGAGAAGCGACTAACATTCGTATAGCAGATACTACTCATAGAGCAGTAAGAGAAAACATCGCATTAAATCAAGAATTGGATATGATGTTGGAAATTAGTCGTGAATTATATTCCAATACTATGGATTATAAAGAAGCAGTTAAAATGTTAAAATTACAAGCCGATTTGTTTGAAGAAGAAAAAAATATCACTTTAAATAAAACAATTAAACAACAGAATTTAATTACTAATCTTGCAGAAGATTCTAATGACATGAATAATAAATATTTGAGATTAAAACAGTTTAATGATAATCTTATTAATCATATAGCAGTATTAGAAGAATATAAAAAGAGATCTATTATAGCTGAGAATAAAGTTCATATTCTTGAACAACATTTACAACAAATTATGGAAAATAAAACTCAAATATTAGCAGAAGTTTGTTCCAAACAATTAGAGTTTGACAATTTAAATCAAATATTACAAGAGGCTAAAAAATGTATAATGGAGGCATTACAGGTAAATAAATAAATAAATGAAAAATAATGAAGGTGTTTTCAACTAATTCTACATAAATTTTAAATATTCTATAACACAGTTGCAAGGAAAATTGTCTAGAGAGGATGTGTGCAGTTCTTGTCATATTGATCTTAAAGAAAAAGTACTTTCTTCTCTTCTTAATATATTACAAAAGCAATCCATTCCTAGTATATCATCACACCATATAAGTCATCAGGTATGAAAACTTTAGACATCCTGTATAAATGAAGTGATAATATAATTTTATTTTAAAATACATTCCTAATGTGCTTCATGTATTTTAATTATCATATTTTATATGATATTAACTATAATTACTAATTGCACAAAAATATATTTAGGAAGAAGATATAGCATGTTACTACGAAAAAGGTAGTTTGGGTTTATTGAAAAATGCTATAGATAAAGTTAAAGTAGAAAAGGATAAACCCGGAGAGGACAAATCTGTAAAAATCAAAAAAGATAAAGGAAAGATATCTTTATCTACAGAGGAGAAAATATCATCTTGTTTATTACAAGACGATAGTTCTGATATAATTAATCAATTAATTGATTCAAAAAAATGAATAAATAAAAGCGACGGTATATTTCACGTGATCGGAAAATGGCAAAATGCTATATAAATGTTACGATACTGATACAAATTTTGATAAGATTATTATCTTGTATATGAGATACAGTGGGTATACATATAGTATTTGTGTACACCCCGTTTTTCTAAAATAATTTTTTTCAGAGAAGGAGAGAATTAACAAAAGATATATTTTTTAGTAGCCTGTTATAAACTATATTAATAAAAATTTTATAATATTAGAAACAAGAAAGTAAAATTATAAAACGTAGAAATTTCGTAATCAAATAAGTATTGGTATATTAATGTTTCCGTGAATAGTGTATAAAAATCAACGTTGGTTAGTTCTCCGCTGAATGTAAAAAACATGAACATAAATAAACCATGTTCAGAAGAGTTTTACTATACATTTTTGGATCAGTATAAGATTACAATTCATAAAGTAATCATGTCTTTGGAGAAATCAGAAATATTTATATTCATGCAAGAAAAATTTGTTTTATTTCGTAGTGAAAGTCAAATATATCTTTAAATTAGTGAAAAATAAAATCTAAGATTTCCAATTGTGCAGTAAGTTATTAAAAAATATAAAGAAATTGGTATTGAACAAACGAAGATCAGATCGTTCGAAAATACTATTTCGTAGAGATAGACGACAAATTATAAAGGAAGTGTATGAAAAAACATTAAAAAACAATCAGACTGTAGCCATTTATGTTATTACAATTTCATATAAAATTGTTTGTCCCCAAACCGTGAGAAATGTAGGTTTATGTAGTAGAGCAATGAGAGAAAAGTCGCTTATAAGTGAAATAAACAGAAAAAAATGATTAGATTGTCAGAAACATACACAAAATTAGTTATGAAATTGAGAAATATCCATGAAAAAAAAATGAGTTTACGGTTGTGATTCGATCAGATCAAGAAACCGAATAATTAAAAACAAAATTAATACATAAATAATAAGTAACAGAATAAAATATAGTTTTCCAGTTCTCGAGAGAATTTTTCGATTAAGCAACAAAATAATGCAAAAAGAACGGTGTTTTTTCCGAAATATTTTCAGTTTTTTCAAGAATGTCATTCGATCTTTTTACAAACTCCCATAATCGATATTTCTCCTTCATCTTCTCGTTATTATAATGCATTTATGAAAATGTGTTGTAAGATCATTATTATAATATTTATAATACAAGAGAAAGAGAGAAGAGAAAATAATAAAATTAGAAATAAACGAATCAAATATAATATAAAATAAATATAAATATCAATAGTAAACGTGTTTCTCCATTAATTTCTATAAAATCAGGAATCTGTTAGAATATTTGCATAACTACTGTTCTCCATTTAAAGGAAAAATATGATAATATTATCATATAAATTAGACATAATTTAGCAACGGTATTTTATACTTTTAACACTAAAACTATGAAAATTAGTTAAAATGATTGATTATTAAAATAAAGCCAATCACTATTTTTTTTTTGTAAATTTCAATTTATGTTATTTAAATATTTGTTTAACAATTTATTGTTTTGTTCCGAATTGACATTGAAAAAAAAAACTTTTATGTAGAATGGTAATTTTCATTTGGATGAGTTTTAAAAAAGTTACGGGCTAAAAACCACAGAAAGAGCTGTTTTTTTTTTAAATTCGATATCTTTGGAACGAATGATCAAAAAAATGCCAAAATTTAAGAGGAACGGTTTTTCGATGGGTATTAAAAGATATCAAAAAATGGCGAAAATCAAAAATAAAAATTTTTAAAACCGTCCGATTTGGCATGGAATGCCCCATACATAAGTATATATTAGTAAATAGGTATGTACATTATAGAACTCGTGTTTTTGTGCCTTGAGGAGGATCAGACTTGTATACGGCCTAGACCTTGCAAGAAGGTGAAAGTCGCGAGGTCGAGATTAGTCTCTCATCTTCGTACTTTCTCAAAAATACATAAATTTTTATGATCATCCTATGATCTTTCGTTTCGTTCCGTTTTGTTTCTTTTATTTTCTTTTATTTATCTGTGATATTTTCACTACTAATTGAAAAATTTATATCCTTTCATCAAATATTAGTAACTGAAATCGATAGAGTGTCTCATGTATATTGTATAAAAATAAATCTTTTTACGAATTGGATGAAAAAATAATATCGACAATATTATCTACTTGTAAATATATATATATCACGAGTACGTATTTAAAATTTTAAAAGGTTATAACAGAAATTTTCGCATATATTTCAGCATGGAAATTTTCAATTAGGAAGGTATGGCAGTTTTAGCCGGCAAGTCCAGTTTTCTTGTCTCTATATGATACATCCGGATCGAGTTGATATTAAAGTAGTGAACTACTAGACTCTGGTCGTTTCTGTGAACTACGTTAGCCTCAAAAGTAGAATAAGTATAGAAACTTCTATAGAAAGAGCCTCCTTTCTTTAAAAGAACTACTTAGTAAGATCGATCGCATTCTTTTACCATCTCGTACACGCCTTGATGAAAGTTTGTATTATATATGTTACCGTTAAAACGTGAAATCCGTTGATTCATGGTATATATATAATATCGAAATATCAGGTTTTCGAAAACTGTTGCATTTTTTGCCACTCACCTCCCCGTCTAGTATATCTAGCTAAACGATGAAATAATTATACTGACTAGTTAAAAAATAAAATTTATCAGAATTACTAACAATAAATGTAACAAGGTAATATATGAATTCACGAGAGATAAGTAGTTAAAGTATAAAATTGAAATTTGATATGTAGATTATAATCCGATAGCATGACTAACAGTAAGTCTTGGTTTTTAAAATACAGGAAAAGATAAGATCGGATAACTATGAGCATTGTTATAGAAAGAAAAGCAAGACAGATCAATTTTCAATTTCATGATTTAACTACTCGCTCCCTCTCATTAATTCATACATTACCTAGTTTTTTCAGAAAACAACTAATTAAAGTCTATAATAAGATTTTTTTACATGGTTTCCTTAAAACGTTTAGTTTTTATTTAGATTTAGGTTTTTTTTAGAAATTAAATGAATTATACCCTTAAGAAAAATATATACATATATAGACTCTGCAAACAAAATTTATATACCTCAAGAAAACATCACGAAATTAATAAAAATTATCTTTGGTCTCTACAATTACAAAAGATGCTCAAAATGGTAGTCATTAATTTCCAGAAATTTATGTACTATTATGTATTAATTTATGTATTACTACTTGGGCAACTTTGGCCAAAGTATGTAGTGGGATTGCTGTACATGTATTTTCATTTCCTTCTTTAAACATTTGATCAAAATTAACTCGATTAATCAATATTAACTTTCAGTACTAAAAGCATTATAGTCATCCAACGGTACACCCTCGCTGTGTACTTATTACGACTATACTCGTAATTAATATAATTACAATTATAATTACTTTCAATTAATATTTTACATAACACGATAAAATTGAATTATAATTTTCTTTCACCGATAAAGTGACTTTCAGATCATAATTATTTTGTAAAGTGATAACGTATATTTGTGGTTTAACTATTCATACAACGAAAACATAGTGAAAAAAAATGAAACCATGTATTCAAAAGGTTAATAAAAGTTACCTTTGACTTTTACAATTACAAAAGATGCTCAAAATGGTGGCCATTATCCTCCAAACGTTTATATGTACGACGAACTACTGCTTGGGAAACATTGATCGAAGTAGTGCAGTTGAATTTCTCGCACGTTATCTTCATTTAACACCTGTAGACTTTTATCTTTAAGGATCCTAAAAGATGTGAATTGTAGAAAAACGACTACATTGGCGATCTTTAGAGAAAAAATTAAAAATGCATGTGCAGAGATTCCACGAAATATTTTGACCAAAAATGCCCAAGTAGTTGTTCGCCGTACACATAAATGTTTGGAAGATAAAGGTCATCATTTTTAGTATCTCTTATAATTAAAGAAGGTTTATTAATCTGATAATGTCTGAATCAATTTAATATTAACAGAATAAAAACAAAAAATTTATAAATATTAAAAAATATTCAAAAATAAAAAAAAAATTTTTCCTAAAGTGTGTATATATTTCTTTGCTAGGTTCAATACATTATACGTATATTTTAATATCCGATTATCCCTGCTTAAATATCATCAGTCAATTCATCATTTTCTGTCATCGTCTTGTATCACATATTTTAAGAATTCCAGGAAGTTTATTGATAACTCTCTATAGAGAGAGCCACCACTTTCTCCAAATGATCTCGTGTGCTTCTAACCGGTTTAATTATGACGCTTTTAATCTACTTTGCTCGATTAGGATAAACAAGAGAAAAACTATTTACGTTGTACGATTCACATAATTTTCAATCAGTCTATTTTATTTGTATAATCGAATAGAAAATAATTATTTCTTTACTAAGGAAATTTTTGAGTATTTTATTAATTAATTAATTTTTTTTTATTTTTAGAAAAAACGGACATTAATCCAATATAACAAAAAAAAAAAAAAATAAAACAAACGAAAGTTGTCAGTAAAATATCAACAAATAACAAAAGGTTACAGTCTAATAGTTATTTAAGAGTTAATTACTCTCATAATCAGAACTGATCATCTACACTTATTGAAATCAACACGATCAGTAATGCAATTTGCATAATTACATATTCAATCAACAGAATTACTAAATCTTATTAATAGATTACTGAAAATAGAAGATAAAAGTATTAAAGAAATTTTAAAATTTAGGGTTATTATTCTTATAAATTAAAATTTATTATTCCTGATAATAATAAATGTTTCGTTACAATTTTATTTATTTATATAATTATTAATCTATAAATATTATTATGTATAGTATTTTAAAATAAATTTTTCAAAAATTATATTTTAGTTTTCGTCTTTAGTTAATCAAGTTTCAGTAATAAAATAACAATAACAATGAAAGTGAAATGGTCTGTTATTTCTAGTTTAGAATTACCTGAAAAAGATTAATACAATACTTTTGATTTTATTTTCGTTTTATTTATACATACGAATTGCGAATATCTCATTATCTTTTCATAAGGCCGGCGATACATGTAAAATAAAAAAAAAATCGGATTTTTTTTTTCATAAATAGTTTACCATATTAAAAATATGCCTGTAAATTTTTAGAATGAAATTCGCATTATTTATCGATTAAAAATTCATTTAAGTGCTCCGCTTCAATTCGGCGCTAAACTTTGAACGCGTTTTTCTCGAAACGACTTTTTTAAAACTGTGGTTAAAGATAACTGAAAAAGGTTTCAACCGATTCTTATGAGATTTAGCACACATTTTCTTTATAATATTAGCTTCTAGTTGAACTTCAAAAATGCCACAAACATTTTCAAAAATTGCCATTTTTGACCCAAAAACCGTTAAAAAAAGGGTCAAAAATCAGACTTTTTTGTCTGAGTCGTGCCAATTTACGATTTTTTGACTTTTTAGTTTTTCTTTTGTTCAACTAGAAGATACATGTTTTATGAACACGCTCTGATCCTTTTTTAAAATT